TCCAAAATCAGACTCCCTTCTGCATAGAAACCAATCAGCTTCTAACCTCAGCTTGTTCAATGAAGCTTTGGCAATGAAACCTGGAAGCTGATTGGTTTCTATGCAGAAGTGAGTCTGATTTTGGACTCTCCAGCTTTAGTAAATAAACCCCTTGGAGACCATGGCAATATTTTGTCTATACTGATTCGTATATTCAGGCACCCTTTGAGCCAGATTGAAAGGGCTTGGATGTCTGGCTTGTCTTGGTTTGGTTGCTGGTCTAGTCCCCAGGATGGGAGGGCTGATTCGCTCTCCTCTTCTGCTGGAGATCTGAACACCCACCTACGAGGTCCCTTTGGTTTTCTAAAGTGAATGAGCTGCGAGATATGGAGGACCTTACAGCCACTCTGTATGACCGAGGGGAAGTTTTTTGAGACACTTGGAGACCATGGCAATATTTTGTCTATACTGATTCGTATATTCAGGCGCCCTTTGAGCCAGATTGAAAGGGCTTGGATGTCTGGCTTGTCTTGGTTTGGTTGCTGGTTTAGTCTCCAGGATGGGAGGGCTGATTCGCTCTCCTCTTCTGCCTTATTTTTATTGGTCCTTTCTTGTCTGGTTCTTCCTTTACCCCATTCTTCCTGGTTTCCTTTCCCAATTTCATCCGCCATTTTTTCTTTTTTTCCCCTTTACAGTTCCCTCTGTGCCCTGTCTTTTTCCTTATTCTTCGTGATTCCCCTGTGTAACCATAGTTTTTTTTTTGATCTCCCAATCGACGGGGAATTTTTTGTTGAAATAATTTTCCCAGTTGGTTGCCTGAGATCCCTGGTGGGTTCTCTATTTCACATGTCTGAGATCTATGAATGGCTGGTTGTCCGTGTGGCCTGCGTTGTTGGTACCTGTATTTGACCATTGACATACCAGCCCTTCGGGCCCACACAGTACCATGCACTTGACTTTATTATGCTCATGCCTATCTCAGTTTTTACCATGCTGCTGTTTGTTTACTTATTTACTGGTTATGTTTGACCCATATACTGCCATTTTTTATGTAACTTTTCTATACTTCATATTGTACATTTTTTGGCTACTCTGCAAAAAATGTATAAATAAAGGAAATTCCAAAATAAAACCCGAACAAAAATTCATGGTTGTTTGTTTTTCTCATTAGTGTGCCAGCTGCGACATGCAATTTTCGAGTCACAATCGAAAGTGCCTGATACAATGTGCTGGATTTTGTGTAGAAAAACAAAAATGACGACACAACTGTATGCACCCTTTTTTCATTTTTTTCAACAGAACATTTCGTTTTGACTGGTCTGGGGCCGGCCTAAGACACCAAGAACAATAATTGTTTTCATAGATCTCACAGTTGGTGCTCACCTCATCTCTGTACTTGGTGATGTAGGAGTATATTTCATGTAGGGCACTCATGCTGTTGAACTGGCTCAGGTGTAGCCTTGATTGTTCGGCCAGGTATGCACTCATATCCTGGTCGCTTATTACGGGCATTTTGGCGATGTCGGCATAATACCTGAAACAAGCAATTATAACATTTAGTCAAGACTCAGATGCCTTGCCTAAATTAAAATGCTGTAACATTACTAAAATGCACTTACCTCTCCACCCAGCTCTTGTAGTTGGGTATGTCCTTGGCGTACAGCAGCTTATTACTGGGAGAATCTTTGCCCAACTTGTGCTCTGATGTAGAACAAGAGTCCATGAAGGTCTGGGCAACCACTGAGAGGCAGGCGTCTGTGATGCTGTTCTTGTGGATGTCGAACACAAACTGAGGGTTTTTGATAACATTCACCCAGAACCTCAGGGGTAAACTGAAAGGGAAAACCCATATTTAAGGATCTACAAGCAACAAGTAAAATGCTAGCCCAAGGAAATGGAACAAGACAAACATCAACAGATATTTGCTCAAATCTGAATTTTCAATTTTCATTGGCTATGGTTGGATGTGCAACCTCCCTCTTTGGGAAGTACAGAGGGCCCTATCAGGAACCAGGGAACACACTGCTTAACATTTACCACTTAACTGTTGGCAGCAAACACAAAATCCTGTACTTCTGGGAATAGCGGGACATGCGACTCACTTAGAGACTGGGCCCAGAACTCTCAGAGAGGTTAAGGAAGAGTCCAAGTTTTGTGTAAGCCCTTATTGAAGAAACTTGTAGCTAAGTGTCTGAGCAGAGGGGGAGTGACAGAAATGCATATGCAGCTAGGAATGGGGGTATTAAAGCAGACCTGTTGGTTTGCAAAGCATGACATGTTTCACATGAGCTTCAGCTTGTATAAAATCAGTGTGAACAGTAAGCTTTGACAAAGCATATGTAGAGCTTTGTTGAAGCGTTTAAAGCACCATTCAATTTCACGTTTGTAAATGCTGAACACAGATCCAACAGAGCTCCTGCCCCCCCCCCCACCCACCACACACACAGCAAGCAGCTTACTATGGGGGCACCCAAGCAGGTTCACTCATGAGCCACAGCTCTGTGTGACCATTCACACACAGCCATGGCTCACCCCCCCCCCCCCCCCTTCGTATTGGCCAACTGGCTGTGATTGACAGTAGAGGGAGCCAATAGCTCCCGCTGCTGTCTCAGCCAATGAGGAGAAAGAGACCCAGGAGACCTGATGCTCACGTTCACATCACTGGATCAACAGGGGGCTCAGGTAAGTATGGGGGGGGGGGGGGTAAGTTGGGGGATCTGCTGCACATAGAAGGTTTTTTTTTCACCTTCATGCAGATAATACATGAAGATAGAAAAGACAGCATTTAAGCAAGCTTCTAGCAGGCTTTCAACAAGCTTCAAGAAGTTTTGAAGTCTCCTAATAGCTTGTTTAAAGTGGCAATAAACACTCTCATTGTGCTCAACAAATTGGAGTTGCATGGTACTTTAAAGGCTTCAACATGGCTTGCTGAAAGCTCTGCAGATGCTTTGTCAAAGCTTGCTGTTCACACTGCTCCTATACAAGTTGAAGCCTGAATGAAATGGGCCTAAGGGGGGTGATGAGCATCTTGGATGGTGGGACTTATTACTGAGCTGGGAGATTGCCAACATATTAGAACATTTCTTTATGAGTGGGTCTTTATCCTTTTTTATAAAATTCCCTTCATTATTCACCTCCCCATCTCTAGACAGCCTAAGGTTGTGTCTGTATAAGTTCAAAACTTTCATTTTTTTTTTTACTTAAAATCCCAACACATGAACAATACATTGATTTATACAGCAACACCTATTGTATCACTTCGCTGATGAGATCAAGATGTCCTCTCGCAACCTGGCTAATGTCTTTCATATTTTCATTCAGCATCTCCTGGATCTCATTGGTAGTTTCCCTGGTAAAAGTAAAGTCACGGTTCGTATCTACTGATGGGTTAAGATAAGTATATATGCATTTCCCTAGCCACCCATGCTAATTGCTGCCAGCCGCCGAACCATAGAAAAGCAATTTATCTGCCATATTACAAATGTCATATGTAGGGATGTCCCGCTGGCTGGAAACAGAGGGATTGCTCGCGAAATGCAGTCAGCGCATCCGGAACGCGGGGAGGGGAGAGTCCCAGCTGTATCACCAAGTAAAGGTTAAAGGGGGTAAAGGGGGATTCTGCCTGAAGAGACACTGAGCTGGAAAGGAGAAAAGCTTCAGACTGTAGAAATGTCACCCTGACCTTCCTGATAAAGGAGCCTTTTATGAAGATGAAAGCCACAAGAAAGGAGAGTCCTACAGAGCTAAGAGGAATATTCTGTTGTAAAATTAACCTATAAAGCTACTTTTATTCCAGAAATTTGCTGTGGCAACTATTAATGATTTCTGAGTGGTGATAGCAGCTGAAAGGCGCACTCCAGGCAAACCGTAATGGTTTTAGGTTGTTGTGTTTGAATGCGCTATTTGGTTAACAATCCATATTGGATGTAGACTTACTATCAGTCCATATTGGATGTAGACTTACTATCAGTCCATATTGGATGTAGACTTACTATCAGTCCATATTGGATGTAGGCTTACTATCAGTCCATATTGGATGTAGACTTACTATCAGTCCATATTGGATGTAGACTTACTATCAGTCCATAGTGGATGTAGAGACTTACTATCAGTCCATAGTGGATGTAGACTTACTATCAGTCCATAGTGGATGTAGACTTACTATCAGTCCATTTTGGATGTAGACTTACTATCAGACATTAGACTTACTATCAGTCCACGTCGGATGTAGACTTACTACTATCAGTCCACGTCGGATGTAGACTTACTATCAGTCCACGTCGGATGTAGACTTACTATCAGTCCACGTCGGATGTAGACTTACTATCAGTCCACGTCGGATGTAGACTTACTATCAGTCCACGTCGGATGTAGACTTACTATCAGTCCACGTCGGATGTAGACTTACTATCAGTCCATAGTGGATGTAGACTTACTATCAGTCCACGTCGGATGTAGACTTACTATCAGTCCACGATGGATGTAGACTTACTATCAGTCCATGTTGGATGTAGACTTACTATCAGTCCACGTTGGATGTAGACTTACTCTCAGTCCATGTTGGATGTAGACTTACTATCAGTCCATGTTGGATGTAGACTATCAATCCATATTGGATGTAGACTTACTATCAAAATCCATACTGGATGTAGACTTACTATCAATCCATATTGGATGTAGACTATCACACTACAGGGGTTCCTTTGTATATTACTGTACATGCAGCTCTTGTAGACTGGGCTGAGCCAAAAGCATACCCACCCATACGGTAACCCCAAAGCAGCTCAGACAGAGGTGTTGAAAGTTAAAACTTCAATTCAGATCTTTCTATAGCACCTGGCTATAAGCTTTACAAAAGTTTAATGTCTGACTTTGAGTTTATGAACACTATACAGACCGCTTCCTTGCAGCAGTCACCATTCTTGAATCAGCATCATGAAACCAAAGTGAAGGTCACTTACCAATTACTTTTCCATGTGTGCCGCACATCGTAATCTGTGATTTGGTGCTTATCCGCCTGCTCATCCAGAAAGTCGAACATATATTTGATGGCGAGAGGTAGTGCGCTGCCGCGGTGTGCCCGTGCTAAATATGGTTTCAAATAAATCATCTACAAACTTCTGGAGAGTGCCCTGGAGATGGGAAACAAAAATGATGAGGATCCACAGCAATGACCTCACAAAATACACCTAGAGCAACCAATTGGATGTAATCATTGTTCTTTGATGTACAATTGGAAGGTGAGACCTGGAATCTGGATGTCCTACCCATTTGTACTGTACTTTTGCAAAAACAAACAAACTAAACCTTGATGTCACCGTCATATATTCTATACTCTGGATCTACATTTGTGATCACATCACCCCTTGCTAGGAGCGCTTTCTCATCAAGGTGTCTCAAGGTATTACAGAGGTTGTATGGCCAGCTCATTAAATTGTTTTATACAGATAAACCCTCCCAGGCCACTTTCCGCCATCCCACCATTACCCCCCTCCTCTCCCATAATAACAAAGTGATTTATTTATTTATTTTACTACCTTTTTCTGGTAAGTTGCTCCCCATTTCCTATATTTCGGTCTAGGGCAGAATAACTTTCTATTGTCCAAACTCTACTGGGATGCACATGACACACTACTGAGCATGTGCCAAAAAATTTACTGAAAGGTGGGGTTCTGTTTCTTATGATACCTGCAGCTGGCACCCCGATGATGAGCCATGGCGCACGCATGTCGTTAGGATGCCTGCTGAAAAAACCTAGAAGAGCCACTGGCATTCTGATGTCATGGATGAAGATGATGGCACAGGACCAGTCAGTATGTGCATTGAGGCCTCCCCAGCAACAAAGGTAAGGGTGGATGGAGCAAGGGGGTGCAGGTGAGTGAAATTTCTCTTTTGGATCTATTAGGGGAGGCATATGGCAGCTGCTAATTGTCATCCTTATCCTTCCCTTCAAAATTTTGTGGAACCACTGTCCTGGAATAAGCCTGTGCACACATGCGCTAAAACACCTCCTGCACATGCTTTCTGCAAAGGGCAGTAGCTCATTTAGTGAAACTTGGATGAAGATGAAAGTTCTGAAGCTGGCAACTCCAAGGACAAGTCCCCTCAATGGCAATGCCCAAATGGTAATTTTCATATCGCCGTCTGCACTAAGAGACAGGTGCTCTTTATTGGCTGCCTGGCAGTTGGTACGAGATCACCAATTTATGTGTATGCACTCAGCAGCAACTTTATTGGGTACATCTTGCTAGTGCCAAGAAAATCACCCCCCCCCCCCCCCACCATTACACCACCACCACCACCACCATGAACTGTTGATACAAGGCAGGATGGATCCAAGCTTTCATGTTGTTTATGCCAAATTCTGACCCCACCATCTGAATTTCGCAGCAACCAGTCTGCCCATTCTCCTCTGACCTCAACAAGGCATTTTCTCCACACAACTGCTGCTCACTGGATATCTTCTCTTTTTCAGACCTTTCTACGTAAACCCTAGAGATGGTTGTGCGTGAAAATCCCAGAGCAGCAGTTTTTGAAATATCAGCCCGTCTGGCACCAACAACCTTGCCACACTCAAAGTCACTTGAAATCCCCATTCTGATGCTTGGTTTGAACTTCAACAAGTTGTCTTCATCACGTCTACATGCCTAAATGTATTGAGTTGCTGCCATGTGATTGGCTGATTAGCAACTTGTGTTACAAAGCAATTGAACAGGTGTATCTAATAAAGTGGCAACAAACATCCACTATCTCCTGCGCTCAAGGACTCCGATCAAAGGAAGATTGTTTAAAGATAAAGTGTGTTCATCCAATGCTGATCAAAGGTTGTGCAGCTCTATCATGAAGCTGGGGAAGCTTGATAAAACTGTAGAAAGGGATAAAAAAAAGAGCGCACCAACCTTGCGCATTACCTCAGTAAACAGTGAATGATTTTATTAAAGAAATATACTCACAAGAGTAGCGATAAAACAGGCATAAAATAACCATAGCCAACACAGGGTTACAGGTCACGTACAAATTCCATCCGAAGGGGAGATACAATCTTTGTTCGAGCTAACGGGTTTCGAAGGGCGATCCCTTCTTCATCAGAGCTGGGTTTAACAGAAGAAACCCTCAATTAAGCAGAATTCCCATAGCTAGGAGGCATTCAGACAACCGAACAGGCTGAAATACTGACACTCAGTGGCTGAATGCCTCCTAGCTATGTGAATTCTGCCTAATTGATGGTTTCTATCTGTTAAACCCAGCTCTGATGAAGAAGGGATCACCCATCGAAACGCGTTAGCTCGGAAAAAGACTGTATCTCCTCTTCGGATGGAATTTGTACGTGACCTGTAACCCTGTGTTGACTATGGTTATCTTATGCCTGTTTTACTCTTGTAAGTATATTTCTTTAATAAAATTATTCACTGTTTACTGAGGTAATGCGCAAGGTCATACACAGCATGAAACTTGCACATTTCCTAATTGGCAGAAGAACAGGACGCAGATTCAGGGACGGATTGCTACTTCACAGTGGAACCCAGCTCACCCAGAGGGATACCACCTACCAGGAGCACACAGGGGGACCCCTAGTAGAAGTGGACTACCAGCCCCATACCAAATAGGAGGAGGACCATCCACCATCAGATGACATCTGAGTCTTTTATATACAAAAGCGCATTAAAATATGCGCGTCCGGTGAGTGCGCATTACTTTATCACTATCACACGGATACCGGACTCTCATGTCACCTGAGCACTTTAATTATTCATACTAATTTCCAGGACTATTCTTTTGCTTTGTATACATTTGTTTGGGATTTCCCTCCAATCCAATATATATATATATATATATATATATATATATATATACATATATATTTTGTTTCTACTATCGAGCGTGCACTTATATATAATGCGCAAGGTTGGTGCACTCTTTTATCCCTTTCTACTGTACTTAATAAAGTGGTCAGTGAGTGTATATATATATATATATATATATATATATATATATATATATTTTTTTTTTTTTTTTTTTTTTTTTTTCTTCAAGTTAAAATATATTTCCCCCCTTCTCTCATTATAAGGTCAAATAAGAAAATCACTGATTGCACTTTAAGGTCGCCATTAAGGCACAATGGATTTCTAGCACAGAAGCCAAACATGGCTAAATGATAATGAGCACCATTGAGTCAGCAGCGCTCTCAAAGATCTTCCAACAGGTTGGAAAAGGTGTGTGACTGATAAGAAATTATTCTCTCATCTGCATATAAAAGAAAGCTGTCCCTTCACTGAGCACATGCTGGAGCTGAACATTCTCCAAGCCGAGAAGAGAAAACAATACAAGTGAATGTGGAGCATCAGAGATCCACCAGCTATAGGGAATGCATTGTTTATTTTCTGTGAGCATGGAGTTTGAATTATCAGCAGGTTTGCTTTTAACCCTTCCATACCCAGCACCTTTCCGCTGTTCTGTTCAACATTGGGAACTGAACAAATTCCCGGATATCTCTGCGAAGAGAGGAGCACGTGGCAACACTGGGGCAGTTAACATTGTCTCATGGGGAATCAATTGCCTGGTGTGAGCCTGAACCTTCAAGACGGAAGGCTTCCCTTACAATTCAAGCAGCTGAATAGAGCCATGGGGAGGGGAACGGAAAGGAAGGATATGCGTCTGCCGATGTCAGCATTATTTGAGTCAAATTCAAGTAGTTTTTTTTATATGGACTTCACATTTTACAAGCTTGTTATTCCATATGTTACCATAAAGACTTGTGGACTAGCCACTAGAGGGAGCCCTCAATGGATCAGTGAAATTACTGTTGCTCTCTTACATGTTGTGATATCACGTACACAGTGAGTGCATGGTTGTCAATTAATCTGCCAACTCATAGACCTGGTTGTGAGAAGGAACAGTAAAACACAACTCCTAAAGTAGGAGTAGAAATTGCATATCTAAGAGCAAATAAGGCGGCCCAATGCAAAAACTATTACAATAAGGACCAATGAGATAGAAAACTATTGCATATTTGAAAGCCTTCTTTGGTTCTACTGGATCTCCAAGAAAAGCCAGCAATATGGTACTTGACAGTAAACTGTAGGCTTTATTTATTATTATTATTATTATATACAGGATTTATGGCGCCAACAGTTTATACAGCACTTTACAATATAAAGGGCGACAGTACAATGACAATACAGAAGGAATAGGAGGGCCTTGCTCATGGAGCTTACAGTCTAAAGAAAGGGGAGGCGATACAAAAGGCGACAGCTGTGGGGGACGATCTGGTGGAGGCGATTCAAATACCATTCTTAAGTGGGGGTAGAGTAGGCTTCCCTTAATAGGTGGGCTTTAAAAGTTCGTCTAAACGTGGACAGGGTGGGGGGCTGACCAGACATATTAAACAGTAGGACAGAAAACAGCCAATAAAGTCAACGCATTTCAGACGTTGTTGGCTATATTCCACCCTACTTTTTAATAAAGCCTTCAGTTTACTGTCAAGTACCATATTGATGGCTTCTCCTGTGAATCTGGTGTATTTAAAGCTTCAGCAACCTGCGCCTGAGCTGCGGCAAACCAGCCACTGAGTGCTTGGGAGGTAGTAGCACTGCAAAATAAATCTGTCTTCTTTGGTTCTACACCATTCCATGGAACTGGTCTATTCTTAGGACAGCATTGGGAGCAGGGGCGGACTGACAACTCATGGGGCCCCTGGGCAATAGGGGATCATGGGGCCCCTGTGTCCTTGCCCAAACTCAAAAAAGCCTATGAAAAAGGTACCAGGGTAATCTCATGGGGCCCTCGGGCAGTGCCCGAGTTCCCAAATGGTCAGTCCGCCTCTGATTGGGAGGTTAGGTTGAGTGACTGGAGAGTTAGGTGTGACAAGCTCAGCTATTGGTCAACGACTCAAAACTTGACTGTGATACTAAAAGCTGCCACAAGGTAACTTCTATATAGCAGTCCTTGTCATGTATGTTCTCACAAGCAAAGCTTAGTGTTCCAAGTGAGAAAGCTCAGCACCACCCATCCAAAATACATTAAATTGTTACTAAACCCCGGACCTTTCATTCACTATATCCAGTCCCCCGGACCCTGCATTCACTATATCCGGTCTCCCCGGACCCTGCATTCACTATATCCGGTCTCCCCG